ATTCATCAACTCTGCTATTGCTATTATTATTCACTCAGGGCACTCCTGCCCTCTCTGTGTGTGTTTCCCTGCTCTCTTGTTGCAAGTATTTTGCCTTTAAAATGTGTGTAGCAGCAATAGCTGGGATTTGGAGGGTGGTAAAGGCCGATGAGCGCACAGAGCTCACTGTCTGCAGTGGTTGTTGCTTTTATTTAATTTTTTTAAATAACATTGTTGAGGTGAATCAGCCCTTTGGGTGGTGGGAAGCGGGTCGGTGTTTCCGCGGTGCCGTGGAGTGGGGGGACTGCGTGGGGCCGGGCCTTGGCAACCCGTCTGCCCGTGCCAAGGGCCACGCGTGCCATCAGCCGCCAAGGGGAGGACAGTGGAGCTGCTGGCCGGGGGCTGGCGTGGGGAACGGGGTCCGCAGCCTGCCCGCCTCGCTCCTCCCACGCCGCCAGCGCAGCCACAGCCACAGCTTGCACCGAAAACGGGGGCACGGAGAGCGGAGTAAACCACCTCCCTCACGTCAACCTTTTGTCTCGGGCTGCTGGTGCGTGGAAAGGAAGGGCTGCGCAAACTTTCTGGGTGCCTGTGGAGAGGGCCCCGGCGTTGGGAAGGGGCGAGAGCCTGGGCACAGCGCGCCCGGGGCAGCGAGCACCTGCGCCGGACGCTGCCTTCGGAGTCCGCTCCGAAGAAATGCATAAATAATTAAGCCAGGGTACTTACACACACATGTTTTATGGCAAATGGCTGTGTGGTTCGTGATCATTTTTTCCAGAAACAGGTTTTATGATAATATAGTAAAAATATTAAATTAGAAAATGCCTCACTAAGGGTGATAAAACCTTACTACAGTGGAAATAGGTAATTATCCCCTCTACAGCCTAAATGACAGTTTAAAAGAAATAAAAATGTTAGTGCTCATTACTTGCTTTTGTAGGTTGCTATAAAGGGTAAGTTAAATTTTAATTCAAGGAAGACCCCTGTATCGACCTGCCTTCTTCCACACTCTCCACCTGAGGTGTGAGTGCTGTTAATTACTCGCATAGGTTATTCCTCAGCACACTGCGAAGACCGGCACCTCTTTGTGCTAAAGTCACCTTTCCTTCTCCTGGAGGTAGCAGGCTTGCAGCGGGGTGGGTTGTTTCAACTCAGTGGCTCAAGTCGGATGTTTAATATATGTGGGTGGAGGAGAGAAATTTTATATTTTTTAACCAAAATCCAAGTTTATTATGCATAGCCTTAAGGGGGCTGAAAGTATTAAAATCCACACTTACCCTGGTGAATTGAAACAGAGACAAGGTTAAACCTGGAGGATTGATGAGTTTTACTCTCTGCATGGTTAAATCCTGCTGAGGGGAGATGCTGTAGAAGAAAGGTAGCCTAGATGATGAGGAGAGGGAAAAAAAAAAAAAAAAGTTGGGTTATTTGTTATTTGTTTCCAGGGTGAAATATGTGTTCTGTTTTGGGGGTGGTGGGGTTACCCGATTTTTCCCTCCTCCTCCTGTCACCCTCTACCAGGATGCCTGCCCTTGCTCTGTTATTATCCAAACAGCTCCACTGGAATTTTTACTTCAGCGGAGGTTGTCGGTGTCGTGCCCGGAGGATGGGGCTGGGGGAGTGCTGGGCTTGCACCCGTGGAACCTGGGCCGCGAATGTCGGAGTCTGTCAGTGCTGGCAACGTTTCTCTGCCGGCGAAGACAAATTCTTGCCGAAGTCTCCCTCGGCACTGCTTGCTTGAAAGATGACTGTTTATTTAAAATCTGTAGGATCGGAGGAAATAGAGCACTGATCCCTGAACTCTTGTACCCATCAGAAGATGATCAAAAAACAAAAATGAAGACAAAAGCCTGTGGAGACTGGTTCTTCACCAGTGGGAAAAGGCCAAGGCGGGTTGCAAAGAAACATTACATTTGGCTTTTGCCTGCTCACCGGGAGAAGACAGAAACTTGCTGTCTTGGGCTAGTTTCTGTGGAGTCCTCCCGAACGTGCGCATTGTATTTAAACTTCCTAAAGTTACTGAGGACTGTGAAAAAATGAACAAATGTATAGGAGGAAGAGGGCATGTGTAGAGAAACTGCAGAGGGGAGCCCCTCGGTGCCGCGGAGGGGATGCTTGGGGGCAAAGTCCCCTTCGAATTGTGCAAAAGGCCTTTGAGGTGTGTTTGGTAAGCGGTCGGCGGGACCGGAAGGTTTGAAGCCTCTTGCCTGGGAGTGAGGCTTGTGGACAAAATAAAAGCAGTTTCTGTTGCTCGCTGGCCCCGGGGTGTGGAAGAGGAGCGGCAGAAGATCTGTGTGCAGTGCGCTGCGAGCGTGGCCAGGCTGAACGGGTCTGCCTGGGAGCGGATCCGTGCCCCTGGCAGCGCTGACGCAGGCTCCAGAAGAGGGTTCCTTCAGCCCAAGTGACTCGGCGGCCGGAGGAGAGCGTGGGTTTATAGCCAGGACAGAGAGCAGCCCTCCAGCAGGGAGTTGCCGTCGGTGGAGGGCAGCGGAGCCATCTGCGATGGGCGTGCTGGGTCCTCCCAGGGAGCAGCCGTGCCTGCAGAGCCACACCATGGGTCAGGACTAAGGTCTGAGATGGCGTTTAGGTCGGCTGGGCAAAGTCTGGGGAGGAGCCCAGGAGCGCAGGAGACGCGTGGAGATGATGTTGTTCCTCAGCAAAGCACGAAGGGATGGGAGTGAGTCCGTGTGCGAGAGCTGGGTGTTATTTAAGAGTCAGTGCCTGTGCCCAGCACGTGTATTAAAACAAACTGATGGCAGGAGCTGCACAGACAAGAGGCGTCAAGCCCCAAGCCGGGGAACAGCAGCAGCATCCCTGCAGTGGATGGGAAAATGGAAACAATCCTGAGGAGGTGTGAGAGCCTGCTGCTGGCTGCCGGGAAGGTGCTGCGGTGGCAGGGCTGCTTTCCTCTGGCCTGAGAGCGAGCAGGCAGGCTGGAAACCAGCAAAGTGGGTGCCTTTGGTATTGTCATTTATCTCTGTAGATTGTTCTCCTCAGTGCAATTAAGTTTATTTCAAACAAGGCCTATACCAGAGGGAGAGGAGACAGAATGGCATCAGTGGTGTTTCGTTCAAAGTACCCACGCTGCTCAGGTGCCTCGGACAGGAGCAAACGGCAGGTATGGCCCACCTGGGTGTGAAATGATCTTCTATCAACACCAGTTTCAGCGTTTCCCTCTCTGCTCCCGACGCGTGAACCCTGCTGCGGACAGGAACCGCCGCGCCTGCCCGGGAATTTCATCGGGACTGTGGCACCAGGGGCAGCGTCGGCTCGGTGTACCAGCGGGGTCTGAGCGGGGCCGGAGGGCTGTGCCGGTCGGAGCTCTGAACAGCATCGCTCTGCCTTTTCCTTCTGATCCGTCAGTGGAGCCTTGAAGTCACAATGTCCTCGTTGGCAGTAGTGCCCCTTGCCACCTCATTTCTCAGTTGAAACAGCAAAAGCGAGTTGCATTTATCAGTTAATAGGAAAGATGGAATATGTTACAGGTTTGTGTAAGGCATTCCTCTCCCTCCTCCTCTTTTTTTCTTTCAAGCCTCAAAGTTTTCAGCTTCTCATGTATCAGTTCTGTTTTCCAGAAGTGCTTTGATTTTGCGTTTGTGTTAAACTTGCCCAAACCTTTGTGCACCTCCTGATCCAGCACGGAAACTCCAGCTGTGGTTTCATAGTCGCGGCTGAGCTTTGCAAACAAAACACGGCGTCAACCATTTTGTTGGGTAAGGAGCCGCGTCCCTCACCACAGACTCATTTGCTGAGGGTAGAGCAGCTGATTGGTTAATTAGCTTCTAAATGAAAATTAATTTAAGAGATGTGGCCCTGTGAATTAGAATGGCTTCTTGTCTCAGTGGCCCATGCACGTCTGTCCATCCTCCCATGTTGCTGGAACAGATACTTTGTTCCTTGTCTCCCTGGGTTTAATGGTTGGTGTTTTTCTGCCATCGCTGTTCAAAACTTAGAAGTTCCTTCTTTCACGAGGCTGACGGGTAACTCTCTCCAGTGGAAGTGTCTGCAGGAAGCAGACAGCTCTCAAAGCCGTTGCCATCTTTTACTGGTCTGTGAAGGATCAAGGCGTCAAAGCAGCCCCGAGCGCGAGTGGTCCTTGTGGGCTTCGCTGAGGAGGCAGCCGGAATCGGGGCATCTGTCAGGTCTGAGCCTTGTCCTTCGAAGCCATGTTTGACTCTGCCTTGACTGGTGGAGAAGGCTCTTTTCTCTGCCCGTCCTGGCGGTTTTCTGCAGCAGCTGCCCCAGCAAAGCCTCGAGACGCGGGCCCATGGCAGGGGGATGGTTTGGTTACGGCCCAGTGCCCGTCCTCGGGGTAACCAACGCCCTGCCCTGTGTGGGCCGTTCTCTTACAAGAGAAAATGCCGATGTAAAATAGAAGGCTCTCCCGATGCTTTTCCCTTGATTTCCAGAAATGCGTGATTTATGAAAGTGCTCTCTCCGTTTCCCCCATCTCTCTCTCAGGTTACTTTGGTTCTAAAATTAAAGATAAGTAACACCAACCCACTTTTTTTTTTTTTATTTTTAAAGGGAAGCTTGCTCCTGTTATCAGAATTGCTGCATATGTGATATTAATTGGAATCTTGTTGCTGGGTCATTTTCATTGTTTTTCAAGTACCTTCAAGTCCAAGAAAATGTATGAAAACTAAATTATAGTCCCACGTAGACTGTCTGATTGAATCCTCCTTCTGGCTCTGTGGTCTCATACATCCTATTAAAATATTCAATCTTGTTTTCTTACTTGAAGAGCCTGTCTGTAAAGGGCAAACTTATAGAAAACCTCATTCTCTGGAGATATGGTATCCAGCCACACTGAACTATTTACATATTTCTGTACTGTGTGTGATTGGTCTTATGCAAGTTCTCCCCTTTGCCTGTATTTATTAATAAGGATTGTTGAATGCATTTTTAATTATACAAGGCCTTTTCATTTTAAGGAGTGGATGGTTTTGCTGGCAGACTCTTGCTTCTGTTTTGACCTTGAAAAGTAACTTTTCCCCCTTCTCCTTCCTTTTTTTCCTCAGGACAGAGCTATATCGTTCGCTGTTTGGAAAAATCACGAGTCCTGACGAACTGGAGCAGAATTAGCAGCTGGCCTTCGTGCCAGGACTGACCCCACCGGCCTGGCCAGCGCCTGAGCGGCCCCGTCTGGTGGCATCTCCTCTGCCCGGGAGCACCCTCCAGCTCTGGTTCGTTCCTAAAAACCTTCACATCAAATACAGTCACTGCGAAACCACACGGGCTCAGAGAGGAGTTGGGGGTAGACACTAGGTACCCTCCTCTCTAGCTTTAAAATGAACTCGGCTTCCTCCCAAAGACAATCCATTTTTAAGTATTCTCTTTAAATTCCTGACCTTGACTTTTGCAATCTGGGCGACAGGCGAGTCAGACCAGCAGGGACCACGGGTCACCCACGTTTGTGGTAAATCCCTGGAGGTTTTTATTTGAGGGAGTCGGGGTGGGGTGGGGTGTTTAAATGTGCTGTTCTGGTCGTTGGCTGCGTATCTGGAATGTGTGGCTTTATTTTTCATGGAGTCAAGAGGATTTAAATGTCATTTACATAATTAACATGGCCTTAAAACAGAGAAAAGGTGCTCTCCCTCGCAGCCAGCCAGGGCTCCCAGGTCACTCTCCCGTTTCTGACCGAGCGTTCGCTGCGCACAGGGACATTTGCTGACGGGTGATGAGCACAACACGGGGCTACATCCTGGGATATCTCTGCAATTAGAGCATGTCGGTGAATTTTTCAGTCCAAGCATTGATCCTGTACACTTAATTATTTCTGCTGATCATGACTCTGAGCCATCCTGTCTTCACCATCACCATGGCACACTGTTGCAGGGTGCCAGCAGGAATGTAAAACCGGCCGGAGGAGATGACTCACCTGAGGGGTTTTGTGGGGTTTTTATATCCAAAGGTCAGAAGCCAGAAATTAAATCCCCATAAGGGGAATTCGTTAGCCTGCTGTGATCAATCTGAAATGGAGGTTATCTTGCGTAAATAATATGTGCATACATACGTGTGTAAGATGGCCATTGCTTGTGACCACATGAACTGCACTGTCTTTGTTTTGCGCCAGCTAATTAAAATGCTTTCTGAACTGATTGCCCAAGTTTGATCGGTGCAGGAGAGGCACCAGCAGCCAGGGCCTCGCTCAGCCCCGCCAGCACAGTGACATTCATCCGGCGTCTTCCGCGGCACCTTGCAGAGGCTGCG